AAAGGGATACAAACCACCTAGAAGTGACAGCCATCTACCCAGTCCACCTCATTCAATGCCCTTACCCACACGATTCAACTGGATGTTAGGGAAGTACCAAGCTCGCTGTGTGCTGTAAAGCATACACCAGCCTTCAGTTTTATGTTATGGGGCATGTTAAATGTCATCAAATATTCTTTGAACACAAGACTTTATTTTGGAAAACACATTTTTTAGTTACTAGGTGGTATTTGGCATATGGTGGGGACTTGATTTATCCGGAAGCGTCCCTGCTGCCGCCTCATTAGGTTTATTGTTTTATGGGAAGCTGCCATAAGCGCTGGTGCTCATAAATCTTGGCATTCTCCTCTGATTATGTCCTCGGCTGTTTGAGCTCTGGAAGCAGGAAACCTCTTTCCGTGGAGGGAGACTCACAGAAACATATTTCAGGGCCTTCGGGATACATCGTGGGAGAGGCAATCATGGCAGTGACAATCATGAGAGCCATGTGTGTCTCTCACAGAGTAGTATCTCACCAGTTTCCTGTCCACAGGGTTTGCCAGGACCTCCAGGAGAGAAGGGTGAGACAGGAGATGTGGGCCAGATGGTAAGTAGCTGGGCCATTGAGACCCAGTATGGTGCTCCCGGTTTACATTTTGGGGAAGGATGTTTACATCTTATGTTGTTCAACGGCCTCTCTTCTTTCCAGGGACCTCCTGGTCCCCCAGGCCCCCGAGGACCCTCTGGAGCTCCAGGTGCTGATGGGCCACAGGGTCCTCCCGGAGGAATTGGCAACCCTGGTGCAGTGGGAGAAAAGGTAATGTCCATCTACTTATCCCAGTGTCTGCCCTATAGCTACATGAGAAGTAGTGTGTTTGTGTGTACATGGAGTCCTGTGTGCCTGTGTGCGTATGCACTCGTGTGCCTGCGAATGTGCACACACAAGCATGTATGCCTATGTGTTTGAGACACTCCCATTACACTCATCATGGAACCTAAAAGTAGATTCATGACCCCAAGTTTGATACTCTGACAGTGTTCATTTGTAACAACTGTTTGCCAAATCCAAAGCAATAACATGCTCGTTCCGCCAAGCCCCGCTCCCTCCCTCCCCTCTAACTCAGATCTGATGAAAGTCACGTCTCTCCTTCCACATTGAGCTTGCTGTGAACCCCTCTTCCTAGCTCTGCTTTCTCAAAGCCAGGGCCTCATCATTCCTTCTGGTTGGTGTTAGGGCCTGGCCCTTGAGACTGACTGAGCACAGTGAGCCCAAGTGTATGGGCACGGATATGAGTGGATGTGGACATTTGCCCTTGTTCTCTCTGACAAGAAAGGGAGAGATAAATGCGTGTGGGTTAGAGGCACCGCTGTCTCCTCCTCACTGCCTCACACCCTCACCACCAAGTCACAGGCCTTCCTGTCTCAGCTCTGCAGGAGAACACACTGGGTCTCTGTGCTTCTACTCTGCTTTGCCCCGTGTTAGTTGCTTTTCCCACTGCTGTGGCAAAATCCCTGAGAAAATCAACTTAAAGGCTGATGGGCTGGGCTGACTCATCACAGTAGGAAAGGCATGGTGGCCGGTATGCAAGGAGGCTGGCTGATCACACCACATGTGTCAGGACGCAGAGCACCTGCTTGGGACAGCCTTGAGTCCCCGTCCCTGGTGATCCTTACAGCACCCCAACACTCCCTCTTCACACATCTCCCTCCTTCCTTCACATTCCTTATTCCTCAGCGGCTTCCTACTGCATTTCTATAAGCTATCTGGAGACAATAACACTGGCCCCACAGAGTCCTGGACACCAGATGTCCGAGGATAGGCAGGCAGAGTGAGGCAGATGGACAGGTGCTGGCAGATGGCCCATCCACTATCACTACCAATGAGGGAACCTTCCAACACTGACTTGTCTCCTCAGGGGGAGCCTGGTGAAGCTGGAGAGCCTGGTCTTCCAGGAGAAGGAGGTCCCCTGGTGAGTATGGCCCTGGAGGAGCAGTGGGATGTACCTAGTGGGATCACTGGCAAGGCACTGGACCAGAAGCTTCATTCTTGCCTCAGTTTCCCCTCCCATGAAATGGGAGCCATGAGCCTACTAGGACGAACGACATAGAACTTGATGGGCAAGTGTGGTATCTTAGGGGGTGGTGAACTTGTGTGCATGCATGTGTACATATGTGGGGGCTGAGCACACACATGTGTGCATATGAAGACCTCAGCAATGCTCTCACAACTCATGGCCACCAGTAACTGCCACCTGTGGTACATAGGCCCTTTCATGGGCTGCTGTGAGTGTGAGCTGTTAACTTGGCTAGCCCGAGAATATCCAGGCCTCTGAAGGTTGAATATGGTCACTGAGAAGACATCCCCAGAGTAGCTTCAGGCCTTAGAAACATCTTGGGGGACTGAAGTGTCTCAGTTTCCTGCTGTTTTCTGTGCCTGAGAACTATGGGGCTCCCTAACTGCCTTTACTTGTCCAGGAGCCGTGCTTACCTAGAGCTGAGCATAGGCCTTCATGGTTTTAGAAGGCCAGGGCTCTTTGCCTGCTTGATGGTACATATGGGGTTGCTGTGGAGAATTGGAAGCAAGAACAGTAGTAACATCCCCATCCTTGGGCCCAAGAGATGCTGGGAAGGGGCTGGCAGTGAGAGGCAGCACTGAATCCATGGATGGCCCACTGCAGGCCAGCATCCTTCAGGTTCTAGGTGATCACACAGTGGGCTCTGAGAACTGAACTATCTTCCTCTCCAGGGACCTAAAAGGCCTACTGCAGGCCAGCATTCTTCAGGTTCTAGGTGAGCACACAGTGGGCTCTGAGAACTGAACTATCTTCCTCTCCAGGGACCTAAAGGAGAAAGAGGGGAGAAGGGAGAGGCTGGCCCCTCTGGTGCTGCTGGACCCCCCGGACCCAAAGGCCCTCCTGGAGATGATGGACCCAAAGGCAGCCCTGTGAGTAATGCTGTGGGGTCTGGGCAGGGTCCATTCTGAGTCCTTGAGTGCCTGTATCGTGTGCTCCCTGATCTAGGAACAGCTGTGCAGATGCTGTGTGTCTTAAGGGTGATTTTGTCTACTCTAGAGGTTTCCACAGCAGCTATTGACAAAGCTGCAAGGGGAGCGGGAGGCATGGGATGGAAGCAGCAGTCCGTGGGGGGCTCCTGAGAAAAGGTCTTTGGGCGCAGGCTACTGCTTTTCCCTGATGGCCCCAATTTTGCATCAGCAGTTGAAGGGGCCAGCAGAGTGGGTGTGTGGGCAGGACACCTGCCCTCAGTGAGTCTCAAACGAGCAGAAGGCTGCTGCCCCATGCCTGCCTCGTGGGCAGGTTTGCTCTTCTGTGGACACTTCAGGATAGGGGCCTCCTGATCAAAAGTGCTGGAGGTGTTGACACTGTCCCTTGTCCTGTGACCTGGCTTTCGGTAGGGCCAGGCAGGGTGTGTCAGGCTGCTGATAGTTTGTTTCTCTCTTCTCAGGGCCCTGTGGGCTTTCCCGGAGACCCTGGTCCCCCTGGAGAGCCAGGCCCTGCAGTAAGTATCCATCCCATTCCTGCTATGTCTTGTCATCCTCAATTTGCTTGCTCTCTGCTTCTACCCCTCTACCGGGTTTTCTAGGGCACAGTACCCCTCCAGGTTGTCCCTCTTCCAATACCTATCTTTTGGGCACAGTAGATTTGGGAAACGATTTGAGGATACACTAGGGCTGGAGGGTGAACTTGAACTATCCAGTGGAAGCAACTTTCTTGTTCCCACAGGGTCAAGATGGTCCACCTGGAGACAAAGGGGATGATGGTGAACCTGGACAGACGGTGAGTGTGTGGTCTGATGGCTTCCTGGTAGGAGCATCCCTGCATTCTTGGGTCCTTATGAGAAGCCTAAACTTAGGTCCCTCTTGACTGTGGCCAGAGCTTAAGAGCCCCAAGAACCTAATGAAGAATGGGACCCTTCCTTCAAAGGGAAGATGCATATGTGGTTCCACCAGGGGACCTGTACAGAGTTCTAAGGGCTCTGCAAAGGGTCCCAGATCTCACCCTGATTGTCAGCTAAAGCTGCTCAACAGGTGTGCACCTTCTCTCACAGGCCCAACAGCCCTGTGACTGAGGCCACTTGGCCTTGAGCAGCTGTTTTAATGCAAGGTGGTCTCTTTGGGGTGGAACCAGATGACCCCTTCAGGTCCCTGGGCTGGACTGTGCCCTCCTCAGAGGTCTCTCCAGCCCACCCCCAGGGTGGGTCCAGCTCCTAGAAATGACTGTCCAGGTCTTTTGCTGCTGATGTGATAATGTTACAGGCTGGGTGCATTTAAATAAGATACATGTGTTTGGCTCAGGGTGCTAGAGGCAAGGAAGTCAAGATAGAGGGACCTGATCAGGTGGGGTGTCTTGCTGTGACTTAACAAGGCAAAAACAGATATTTGATTCCAGCACTTGGAAAACTGAGGCAGGAGGATTGCTACTAGTTTGAGGCTTTCTGGTCTCCATAATGGGTTCAGTGTCAGCCTTGGTTTTAGAGTAAGGC